GTCCCTTTGGGCTGAAAATTATGGAAAAGGGTCATCTGTGTGGATGGGGCTGCCCATGGCTTGGCGTGGGAGGCCTGGGGGACACCAGGTGGGAAGTGGAGGGGGACTCCTGGTGTCATGCAGCCTCCTGGGGAAGTGGCCGTCTTGACAGGCAGCCGGAAGGTGGACACGTGGAGGAATCCATCCAGCTCACTTTTCTACTTGCCCGTACAGCTGCCACTGAAGGGGAGGCGCTTCCATCACCCCAAGTTTAAGATTCTCGTAAAGGGCGTTAATATCCTGTGATGACACAGAGGAATTGCACTTAGCAGGCCCATTTAAAGAGGGGCTGGGAAATGGACCCTCTTTTAATAGTGTGGCCTTTACTGGGCAAGTTGACTCCTTAAGCCAGCCAGTGTCAGGATCTGAGGGGGTGACTGTGGTTTTAGGGCTTCTTTGCCTCATTCATTGATTTGTATAGATCTTTCCAAATTCTGGTGGCACCTGTGGGGTTACGGAGAGCCTCTGAAATGTGAGCATGTGTATGATGACTCCCCCAGCATTCATTGATAAATCTTCTCATTCTGAGAATGGGGTGGAGTGGCAGGAGACTGGAAATCTTTGGATGCCCTACAGCTCCTGGTGGTGGTAAACACATAATAAATCTGTTCTGCTGGGATGAATGAATGAGCGGCAGGTCAGGGATGGTGGGAGATGTGCCCGAGTGAAGAGACACTGAGTGATACTTCAGGAAATCCTGAGCACTGCACATGGGCTGGCACGGTGAGGGCATCCCTTGGAAGGCTTTCAGTGCCAGGACAAGGAGCTGTTGTGTTCTCCCCAAGGCATTTTTTAAAGCTATCTTTTAATGCAACCTCTGGGGGCTCTGCAGAAACCCAGTCAGTGCCTAAACTTTGATGGCATTGCAAGGGAACTACAGTCAAGCACAGCTTAGAAATCACGTTTCTTTTTTTCTTTTTTTTAATATATTTTATTGATTTTTTACAGAGAGGAAGGGAGAGAGAGAGAGAGTTAGAAACATCCATGAGAGAGAAACATTGATCAGCTGCCTCCTGCACACCTCCTACTGGGGATGAGCCCACAACCAACGTACATGCCCTTGACTGGAATCGAACCTGCGACGTTTCATTCTGCAGGCCGATGCTCTATCCACTGAGCCAAACCAGTCAGAGCTGAAATCACGTTTCTTTTTTCGCTTTCTTTCTTTAATATATTTTTACTCGTGACCCGGTGCACTGATTCGTGCACATCGAAAGGAAATTAATTAAAATTCCTGGGGCAATGTTGTGGCTCAAAGGGCGTGTTTGGAGTGAGGGGCCCTTTGAGGAGGAGAAAAAGAAAGAAAACTCACACTCTGGTCTCTGGCTCGCAGCACTGGCTCCGGTGCAGGGACTAATGCAGGCGGTCCAGGGTGGTGGCCAGCGGGATGGGACTGGGCAAGATGGACAGGACACGCCCTGGAGCCAACTTCCTGTGTTCCCTCCCCAGCTGGCTGCACCTGGGGTGGCGCCACAGCTCAAGGGCATCTGTGGAGTGAGTGGGCTCCCTTTGGCAGGTGGGGTCCCTTGGCCTGGCCTGCAGGGGTCGGGCCGTAACCAGCTCTCCGACATCCCCGAGGGGTCCCAGAGTGCAAGAGGGCAATCTGCAAAGTTGCTGTCGTACAGGGTGTGGAATGCAAACACAAGTGTGCAGTAAACCAGATTCAGCTGACAGTGCCCCAGCAACAAGTAACCCACGGCCGAAGGTGGAATTGCATGGCTCTGCGAGGAATTAGGCTCTCTCCTCTCTGGTTTCGGGGTGCATCACCTGAGAACCACCACTGCCAAGTCACTGCAGCTCGGCAGCTCCTGCATTGAGCATCTGCCCCCGGTAGTCAGTGCATGCCATAGGTGCCAGACGGTTGGACGGTCACTTAGCCATATATATATATATATTTCAGACAGAGGAAGGGAGAGGGAGAGAGAGATAGAGACATCAATGATGAGAAAGAATCATTGATCGGCTGCCTCCTGCACATCCCCCACTGGGGATCGAGCCTGCAACCCCGGCATGTGCCCTGACCAAGAATGGAACCATGACCTCCTGGTTCCACGGTTGATGCTCAACCACTGAGCCACACTAGCTGAACTAGAAATCACTTTTCTGTCTGGTTGGTCTCAAACTGACCCCCTTCACTCCCTTCCTACTGTGGGGTGATCACACTATTTAAACCAGTGGTTCTCAACCCTCTGGCCCTTTAAATACAGTTCCTCATGTTGTGACCCAACCATAAAATTATTTCTGTTGCTGCTTCATAACTTTAATGTTACTACTGTTATGAATCATAATGTAAATATCTGATATGCAGGATGGTCTTAGCGACCCCTGTGGAAGGGTCGTTTGACTGCCAAAGGGGTCGCGACCCACAGGTTGAGAACCGCTGGTTTAAACCAAAACAGACCTGTTAAAACTTCTGGATGGGACCCCGCAGGGTAGAGGTGCTATGGGGGGGAGGGGAAGGGTCTTGGAGTTGTTTTTAGGATCATTTGGCTCGAAAGTCCCAGCTGACTTCCTCCAAAACGTGGTCTGCTCAGCCCAGGAGTTCTCAATAAACGCCGCCCTCTCTTTCCAGGTGTTGGCTAAATTTGTGGTTTTAAGAAAACCCGAGCCTGCAGGCAGCCGCCCTGGGAGAAGCCCTTTCCGTGGGCAGTCGGAACCTTCTGGACCAGAGGAGAAGCCGTCCCCTCACCTGGACTTATGACCCGCGGCTTCGCCCCCAGCCTGCCCGCCGAGGTCCACAAGATGGGCTCCTTCCGCAGGCCCCGACCGCGCTTCATGAGCTCCCCGGTGCTCAGCGACCTGCCCCGATTCCAAGCCACCCGCCAGGCCCTGCAGCTGAGCTCCAACTCGGCCTGGAACAGGTAGAGGCGGCGGCCAGGGGTGGGGTGGGGGCCGCCCGGGCCAGAGCAGGGCCAGGGCCGGGCTTGGCTTCTGCTGCTTCCGAGGTCTCTGCGTCAGAAGGTCATGGTTCCAGGGACCATTGACGAAGAGAGGATGCTTTCCTACAGGGACTGTATCCGAGCTGTCCTTGTTTTAGCAGAGGCAGAGTGGACCCCGGGGGGCCTCCAGGCCAGCAGAGCCAGTTACCTAGCCCTGGGCAGTGGGGTGGGAACTGACAAGACTGTTGATGCTCATTTGTCACATCCTTACTCAGAGGACCCACGGGTGGGACCATCTAAGTAAACTCAAGTCACCTTCTCCCTATGTGTGAAGGTAAGACGCGTATCTGTGAGCTATGTGTGAAGGTAAGACGCGTATCCGTGAACTATGTGTGAAGGTAAGACGTGTATCTGTGAACTATGTAGGAAGGTAAGACATAGATCTGTGAAAAGCTAAGGGACCATCACGTGACGTGAGCCGCAGGCGGCTGGGAGAGGAGACACTGGGCTTTTTTATTTTGTTTATTTTATTAATATGTCTACCCCTCCATCTAGAGTAGAAAGTCTAAACTCTAGAAAGAGCAAGTCCTTTGTGCTGTTAACGTTTCCAAATAATTGCTACCCATTTGCCGAGGTGGTTGGAGACACTGGGCGTCTTTGTAAGGTGTCTTGCCGACCTTTTGCACACCAAGCAGAGTAGAGCATCGATACTCCGTCTTGCACTCCTGTGGCCACTATTTTTCAAATCTCTGCACTTACTCTCCGGATAAATTAAAGGCAGCATTCTCTGGAAGCATCACTGACTGCTTTGGGGTCAGAAGTTGTGGATTTTCTCAGTGAACGTGGCTCTTATGATGGCGAAAGAGCGGAGGCTCTGAAATGTTTTGCTGTTCACTGGATCCTTGTTCTTTAAAAAAGGCCTGGGACCCTTGGAATCGGCTCCTTGGGGAACTCTTGGGGTCCCAGAGAAGGTGGAGTGGAGACTTGACTGTGGCCCTTTAAGGGATTAACTTGGATGGGAGCGGAAGGGGCAGTGAGGCTGGCCCCAGTGAGATTCTCCCAAGGAAAGTACTGTTAGAAAAAGTAAGACAAGGAATGGTCATTTCCCATGAGCCCCAGGCTGCCCTCTGAAGACAGGGCCTCCTGGGAGAAGGAATCCCAGGCCCAGGTCCCTGCTGCTTATAGAAAGCACCATCAGGTTCCTCCAGGCTCAGCAGGGCTGCCAGTGAGAGAGGAGGAAGGCTGCTGGCCTGGAGAAAGCAGGGGGGGTGGGGGTAGGAGAGGGCTGCCTTGGGGTCCTCATGACTTCAGTCTTCCTTCCTCTCCGAGGGCCCTGGTCAGAAAATGATGGGCTCCGGGGATGAAAATGTGGCCCTGTTTATGCTGCGTTTTTTTCCCCTTCCAGCCCCCTTCATCCCGAGCTGTTTGTTGACATGGCTGTGGGCAGATCCTCTAACCAGACTTGCTTCTATTTATTTCCCTGCAGCGTGCAGACCGCGGTGATCAACGTTTTCAAAGGCGGAGGCCTGCAGGGCAACGAGCTCTATGCACTGAATGAAAACATCAGGTACGCGCAGGCCCGGCCAGAGGGCAGAGGGCCCTAGCCCACCTGGGGCCTTATCTTAAGTTTTTGATTCTTATTGCTGCTTCTGCTGGCTTTGTGCCTCTTATGGCTGTTCAGTTCTGAGACCCTGATTGGTCTAGGTCAGGGGTCCTCAAACTATGGCCCGCGGGCCACATGCAAATACAAATAGTGTATTTGTTCCCGTTTTGTTTTTTTACTTCAAAATAAGATATGTGCAGTGTGCATAAGAATTTGTTCACAGTTTTTTTTTAAACTATAGTCTGGCCCTCCAACGGTCTGAGGGACAGTGAACTGGCCCCCTGTTTAAAAAGTTTGAGGACCCCTGGTCTAGACTTTTACTCCAGAGGGGCCCATCCATTTGTTCATGGATGTAGTGTGTGTGTGCGTGTGTGTGTGTGTGTGTGTGTGTGCGTGTGTGTGTGTGTGTGTGGCGGAGGGGTAGAGGGCTCATGGATGGTAGCTGTCTTCTGTTCCATAAACACTGACTGTGCTCTGCTTAACCTTCAGGCACCATGTTAGGCAAGATGCCACGCAGTTGTAATCACTCTGCTGGGGATTTTATTGCGGGTCTTTTTACTAAGTGAATGATGGACTTTTTTGTGCCTCAGTTTCCTCTTATGCGAAACAGGGATAGAAAACGTGTCTACATCCATAGGACTCATGTGTAGATTCGAGTGAGTTGTTACACAAATTATCCGTTAGAACACGGTTGGAACACACTAAGTACTTGGTCCTTGTTGCTCTTTCTGTTGTTGTAGTTGAGGTGACATTTATTCTTTCTTGTTCTCCCCATGTGTGGCCTCACTTCATAATTGTTACTATCAGAATACAGGCTGCTGTCAGGAGCAAAAATCTGACAAATGGGACTTCAGCAAGGAAGGGATTTCATTGTCTCACTGTCTAGGGAGGCCGGTCCAGGGCTTGAGTGGCAGCTACACTTGCCCTTCAGCTCTGCCATCAGAATCTTGGCGCCTTTGTGCCTTGGGCACCTGTGGGCATCGCTTCTTCATTCAAAAAGAAATTAAAGGCCAAAATGCCATGCAAGTCCAGTTTTCCCAGAGCTCTTCAGGCAGGACTGGGGCCCTTAATTGCGAGGGAGTCATTTTTACTGGGCACATTACCCTTAACAAAAGGAGTGGAGTGAACACCTAAGCCATCTTCCTCCTTGGGGCTGATGCCACTGGCCTGTCACCACCCAGGTCTGGGGTGTGTGAGTCCTTGTAGTTCTTAACATCGTTAGCAGTTACTGTCATTCCTGGTAGGTTTGGGGGATACAAACCTCAATAAGACGTGGTCCTTGAGGAGTTCATTGTCTTCCAGAATTTTCCCAGTGGAGTAGTGTCAGCATTCATTCATTCATTCATTCATCTACTCATTCCTACATTCATCAAATACTTGAGTCCCAATAGGGTAGTGTCAACTTTCATTCATTCATCTACACATTCATACATTCATCAAATACTTGAGTGCCTCCCTACTGGCCAGGGACTAGAGAGACATCAGTGAACAAAGACAGACATGGACCTTGCTCTCCTGGAATGTATAGTCTGTCAGGGAGATAATCATTAGTCAGCCAGTCACGCTTGTAAAATGTAGAAGTGCAGCTGTGACAGCTGCTACCACACAGCTGAGTGAGGAAAGCATATGTCCCCATAGCCCGATCCTGCCCAGGAGGCCAGGAATGGTGCTGGGATGCTTGTGCTGTGAGCTGAGGCATCAGTGGGAATTAACTAGGTGAAGAGGGCTCCAGGTGGTGGGAGCTGCAGGTGAAAGGTCCCGTGGTGGCAGTGAGCAAGGAACTGGGTAAAGACCCATGTGCATGGAGCACCAGAGGTCAGGTGGTGGTGGGAAGTGAGGGCATGGAGGCGGGCAGGGCCCTGAGCCCCAGGGCCTCCTGGGGGCAGGAGGTTAAATATCAGATCTTTTCATGCCCTGATGTTCATTCCTCTCTGCTGTGTTAAGTACAGACATGAAGGCAGAAGATCCCACCCTGGAGTGGGCAGAACAATAAACAAGGCCATTATTCAGGTCCTGTTTACATTTAGTCAAGATCTGTGTTGAGGTGTTTGAAGAGCCCTGCTTTCCTGAAAACCTTTCCAGCTCAGAAGTAAACAGGGTTGCGTTACATTTCTACCCAGGGGCTTGAATTTCACATCATAATTACACAAATATGGAAAGAGTCCGTAGATAGCATCTAGCGCACGGCCTCCTCCCGCAGAGGAGGAAGCCCAGGCCCCAAGACAGAGGCAGAGCTGGGTCAGCCAAGCCCAAGGCATGGGAGCTCAGTTTTCCTCTCAGAACTCAGGCCCTGGCCTCTCCTGGGGGTTCCTCAACTCACAATCGAAGCATAAATAAAAACAGTGACTCAGGAATGCGCTAATTGTTCCTCACCTCGGGAGACCGATCCTGAAATTGTATTTAAAACCTTTGTCAGTGGGCAGCCAGGAAAAGTGGAGGCCTGGCCAGAATTCACCAGCCCAGGGCTGCTAACTCGGAAGCCTCCGGGTGCCAAGCAGGTCTTTGACATGGGGGAGGCTGGCCTGGTGCAGGGAGGCGAGAGCTCACCCCCTGCGAAGGGGATTACCCCGGCAGAACACAGGTCCAGCGACTTGTCATCTTATTTCTCAAGAAGAACAGGAAATTGGGATTTTTATGTGAAATTTCCTGGCTTTTAAATGTTGATAACGAATCCACATTTCCTCAAACATTGGCGCAGGCCAAACAAAACACATCTGTGGGCTGAATTTGACCAACAGCTACCTGTTTATAAGGTCAGCTGTGGCCTGCATAGAAGAGGCATTGCTGATGGGGTGGGGGACGTGGTGGGGGCGGGGGGTGTCACATCCCAGAGTCTAGTCCAGCCGTGGACAAACTACGGCCCGTGGGCCGGATCCGGCCCGTTTGAAATGAATAAAACTAAAAAAAAAAAAGACCGTACCCTTTTATGTAATGATGTTTACTTTGAATTTATATTAGTTCACACAAACACTCCATCCATGCTTTTGTTCTGGCCCTCCGGTCCAGTTTAAGAACCCATTGTGGCCCTCGAGTCAAAAAGTTTGCCCACCACTGGTCTAGTCCCAAGGCCACTTGAGGGAGAAGAAGGGAGCCTGGAAAAGCCAGGCACCTTTCACATCCATCAACACATTTACTCTCCTCACTGCCCTGTGAGGTAACCACAGTCATCAGTAGTGTATCCACAAAAATTGTGGATAAGTAAAACCAAATACCTTGTCCAAGGTCATGCAGCCAGAAGGGTAGAATCAGGATTCGAACTCCTGTCTGACTTAGATGCCTGTATTCGTTTGTTCAGGCTGCTATAACAAATGCCATGGACTGAATGGCTTAAACAATAGACATTTCTCACTCTTTTAGAAGTGGGAAGTATGAAATCAAGATGCTGGCAGATTTGGTTCCCAGTGAGAGCGCTCTTTCTGACCAACATCTTGCTGTGTCCACATGGCTTCTTTCTTATGTACACCAGCGGGGAGAGAGCACGCTCTCTGGTGTCCCTTCTTAGAAGGGCACTAATCCCACCATGGGGCCCCACCCTCATGGCCTCATCTAACCCCAATTACCTCCCAAAGAGCCCATCTCCAAATACCATCATGTTGGTGGGGGTGGGTGGAAGGCTTCGATATATGAATTTTCCAGGGGAACACAATTCAGTTCATTGCAACACCTGTGCTCTTTGCACTCTATTGTAGTGTCAGAGAGAGGGGTTTTAGGTTGGAAGAAGGTTAAGGCGATGGTCTTGAACTTCCTGCCATGGTCCCTTTCATGAGCCTGTGAGCCCATCCCTCATCATGTGCTGTGGTTCTCAACACCCTCTGAGGAGCATCACACACACACACACACACACACACACACACACACACACACACACCGCTGATGGGTTTTGGGGGCTGCTGGATGCTCCCCTCTCTGTTTTGAGCGATTTTCAGGTTGATGGGCAATACATATGGTCGGGGTTTGCTCCTATGTGAACTGAACCCAGAGTCAAAGCTGTTAAAAACCAGAGCTTCTGTTACCCATGTTCTGAACCGTCTGTCTCCTGGCCCTTCTCTGGGAGGGTGGCTAGGCTGGAGACGGGCTTTCACATCACGGGAACAACTCAGAGTCTAACTGAGAACGTGAAACACGCCCCAGGCCTCCATGTGACCTGGCCATCTAAGTTGAAGGAAGTGGGCTGACCTGCACATGGCCCACATCTGTAAGTGCCTGCACAGAAATGCGATAAGGCCCTTCTTTCAGCGATTAAAACGCCAAAAGAGACACGATATTCTCTACTTAACGTTCACGTCGACAGTGGGTTTTGCTTTTCCTTTTCTCTTCTTTTTCCTTTTGGAACACCTGTTGGCAGCCTACATCCAGAAACGCCACAGGTTGAGGCATGACCGGTGGTGGGGTGCGTGCATGGGGGCGGCGGGGGGTGGGGGGGTATAGGATGGTAGGAACCCAGGGAAGAAGATGTGGAAGGAGAGGAGAGAATGTAAGTTATTCTCAAGCCACTTTTCAATCCACTGTGACAGTTCTCTGTGCAAGAAGACCTGTGCCAGGTTCGGCAGGATATTTTTCACTTGTTAAAAGAGTAGCTTTTGGATTCAAAGAGACAGGGGATCCAGATTGGACTAGCTGGGCCTTGGCCAGTGTGGTTCAGTTGGTTGGGCATCATCCTGTGCTCAGAAAGGTTGCCGATTTGATTGCCCAGGTTTGGGGCTTGATCCCCAATAAGGGCGTGCAGGAGTCAACAGATCGATGTTTCTCTTTTACATTGATGTTCCTCTCCTCTTCCTGTCCCTCCCTTCCTCTCTCTCTATAAATCAATAAGAAATCTTTTTTTTTTTTAAAGATTAGACACACTATTAGAACCTTGGGCCCAGCACATCATTTTTCTGCGATTCTTTTTTTCTTTTACGTAATGGGGGCAATGATGACATCAATCTCAGGGTGGTTGGGGAGTGAGATAATGCTCAACATGT